CTCACACACAGACACACACACACAGACACATGCACACAGACACACACACACAGACACATGCACACACGCACACACACACTCTCACGCACACACACACACACACAGACACACACTCACACAGACACACACACACACGCACAGACACAGAAAATGACTTGTGGATACCATGTACACTTATACCAACAGAAGGAGTCTGCCAGGAAGAAATAACAAAAGATCCATGTTTCACAGCTGCCCCTGATTCCCTTAGAATTCCTACAGTGGGGAAACAGGCCATTCAGCCCAACAGGTCCACGATGACCCTCCCAAAGAGAATTCCATCCACTCTCAACCGTCCCGACCCTATCCCTGTAACCCTCTATTTCCCCTGGCTAACCTACACACCCCTGGACAGTATGAATAATTTAGCACGGCCAATCCCACCCTAACCTGCACATCTTTGGACTGTGGGAGGAAACCAGAGCACCCGGAGGAAACCCACGCAGACACATGGTGAATCTTAACCAAATCGTGTCACTGCTAACATTGCATTTTTAATATTAATTTGTGGGATGTGAGCATCATTGGCTGGGCCAGCATTTCTTGCCTGTCCCTAGTTGCCCTTGAGAAGGTGGGAGTGAGCTGCCTTTTTGAACTGCTGCAGTCCTCTTGCTGTAGATTGGCCCACAATGCCCTTAGGGAGGGAATTCCAGGATTTTGACCCAGCGACAGTGAACGAGCAGCGATACATTTCCAAGTCAATATTGCCAATAGTTCTACACTTATAGAAGTGAATGAAGAATTGAGGAGATGGAGGGAGACAGATATAACAACTCAGCAGTGTTCAGTGCCTTCTAAAACCAGAAACTTCAGTGACATTCTGTTTGTCCATGCTTTAAAAATAATGGGAATGCTTCACAGTGTCATAGAGTGAGACAGCATGGAAACAGACCTTTTGGTCCAACCAGTCCATGCTGAACATAATCCCAGATGCAAACTCCATAGAAATTCCGAGCTTCCTGTCTCTGGTGCCTGTAGAATTTCTTTTCCCCCCAAGTCCTGAGCCAGCCATATTTCACAATGTATGTTGTAATGTAAATAGTTACATTACATAACTGGAGGCTTTGTAGCACAAAATAATGCTGATTGGCATTAGATACAGACTAGGGCTTTCCATTGTTGAGCTGGTCAGTTTGCATTTTCCACTGTTTGCTTAACGGTTGGAAAAACTCAGCTTAGGAAGTAAAGGCGCAGAAAACCAAGGTGCCAGTTTTTGTAAATTAGTTTTGTGAATCCGATGTCGGACAATATCTGCAGATTGTATGTTCTGTTTCAGTGCAGAAACATAGATAATAGGCATGATGTGGAGGTGCCGGTGTCAGATTGGGGGTGGATAAAGTCCGAAGTCACACGTCTCCAGGTTATAGTCCAACAGGTTTATTTGCAATCACAAGCTTTTGAAGCGCTGCCCCTTGGTTAGGTGAACTGGAGGGTAGTGCACCTAAACAATAGGGGCAGGAATAAACCATTCAGTCTTTTGAGCCTGTTCTGTTATTTGGTATGTTTGTGGCTAAGCCTGGACAACACGTATGGATCTGTGGAAGTAAATAGAGGCCTTTAAAATGCGCAACATTCCACATGCAGACCATGAGACAAATGAGGAGGTGGTCAAAACTGCCAGAGCAAAAAGGACTGTGAAAAGTGACATGCAGAAGATAAATTGTCGGTATTTCAGCCATTTGATCAGAGCTGAAATGCTACAGAGATCTCTTCCAGAGGGCAGTGTGGTGACTGCAGAGAGAGGGGTCGACCCAGGTGATAGTTGGATGAAAGATGTCACAGAGTGGTGGACAGATGTGTCACTGTAGATGTGTGAGGGTGGCACAATGCAGCGAAGCATGGTATACCGTGATGGCAGATCCCTGGGCAGGAGTTACAACGCGCACACAGCAGCAGTATGCCTTGTGGCCCCATTTTCCCTCTCTATCAGAGTCATACTTCTTCATTCGATCATTCACCCAGTGATTTACAGCACTTCTGCTTTGAGGACCTTGAAGATGCCTCTGTGTGCCGGTGATCTGTCAGCATTGTGTGGGAATGTTCGTTTATTCATGAGTCCACTCAGTCAGAGGTATGTAAATAGATTAAGGATGGCAGTTTCCTTCCCTAAAAGTTTGTAAATAGATTAATTAATTGTCGGAAGCATCTCTGTTGAACTGAGAAGGTGCGTTCATCAAAGAAGTATTTTCTTTTATTCATTCACGGGATGAGGGCGTCGCTGGCTGGGGCAGCATTTATTGCCCGTCCCTAATTGCCCAGAGGGCAGTTAAGAGTCAGCCATGTTGCTGTGGGTCTGGAGTCACATGTAGGCCAGACCAGGTAAGGATGGCAGTTTCCTTCCTTAAAGGACATTAGTGAACCAGATGGGTTTTCTGACAATGGTTGTCATTAGAGTCTTAATTCCAGATATTTATTGAATTCAAATTCCACTGTCTGCCATGGCAAAATTCAAATGCAGGTCCCCAGAACATTATACGGGTTTCTGGAGTAACAGTCCAGTGATGATACCACTTGGCCATCGTCTGCCGCCAACAGTCAACCTTATTAAAGAAGGAGTTATCAGGATCAACGTCAATAGGGTGCCCCTGTTGGAGTGAGGTTTACTGAGGAACAAAAATGGAAGTTGCTAGAAAAGCTCAGCAGGTCTGTCAGCATCTGTGAAGAAAAAAAATCAGAGTGAACGTTTCAGGTCCGGTGACCCTTCCTCAGAACCGATCACTGGACTTGAAACGTTAACTCTGATTTAACGTTAGAGTTAAATCAGACCTGCTGAGCTTTTCCAGCAACTTCTGTTTTTGTCCCTGATTTACAGCATCTGCAGTTCTTTTGGTTTTTAATTACTGAGGGGGCGGGGAATACAGTTTCGCCAGAAACGAACTCCTATTTGAGATGAAAATGAGGAGAAGGGCTTTCTTCGAGAGGATCATGAATCTGTGGAACTCTCTTCCCCAGAGAGCAGTGGAACAAGTATTGCTGAGTATTTTTAAGACGGGGGAAGATAGATTTTGACCAAAAGAGGGTGTCAAAGGCAGACAGGAAAGTGGAGTTGAGCCCACGATCAGATCTTATGGAACAGTAGAGCCACATTTTTGTGCCTCTGCAAGGCACAAGTTCTGAAAGTCAGTGGGTGAGCGATTGAATGAAACTGTGTGAAAGAAAGGTCTTTGTTCACTTCCACAGATCTTTACTTATTGTCCAGGCTTAGCTATGAACATAATTGAAAGGTGGAGCAGGCTCGAAGGGCTGAATGGTTTACTCCTGTTCCTATTATCTGGGTTTCTGAAGATAATGTAGAAGTTTGAACCTGCAGATACTCCCTGACATCAGCTTCACAAGGTGACTTTACAGAAACCATGACTGTGGCAAAGCAGGCTACAGAGGCTGAGTGGCCTATTCCTGCATATCCACATTTATAGGCAAATAGACATATTTAGCTCTCATCACAGCAGACAAGTAGTGAAGTGTTTGCCAGCTAATTTTGCATGCAGCATACTCAATATGATCATCTCCTGTTGGTGACCAGGATAGTGGGAATAACTCCCTTACAACTTCTTCGAGAAGTGCTAAAGGATCTGTGTTCCATACACCAGGGTAGGCAGATGGGGTTTAAAATCAGAAAGACAACACCTCTGCCAGGGGAGCACACCCTCGGTGTACTGGAGAGGCAGCTTGGATGATCTGTGCTCAAATCCCAGTGTGGGATTTTGAACTTACAAACAAGTGTCTCAGAAACAAGCCATGGGCTCCCAGCTGAGCCTGATGCAGCCCACAGTGCGCAAGCAATAGATGAGGAGCCATTTGACTACATTGCCCCAGTGAAGATTTCACCCAGAAGCTTTCTGAATGGAGCATGTACATTTTTAATCACCTTATTGGGGTTTGTAACATCATGAGGGGTATGGATAAGGCGCATTGCAAAGGTCTCTTCCCTGGGGCGGGCAGTTTAAAACGTAGAGGGCATATTTTTTTAAGGTGAGCGTAGAAAGATTTAAAAAGGACACAATGGGCAACTTTTTTATACAGAGAGTAGTTCATGTGTGGGATGAACTTCCTGAGAAAGTGGTGGATGTTTTCAGTTACAACATTTAAAAGATATTTGGATGATTCATGAATAGGGAAGGTTTGGAGGGATGTTGCAGGTGGGCCTAGTTTAGTTTGGGAAAATGGTCAGCATGGACTGTTGGACTGAAGGGTCTGTTTCTGTGTTGTATGACTCTATGACTCTATAACCATGAAATCATGACAGTGCATTAACACTGATATTAATGCACATGTACATAAACTCACAGGTACATAGTAATACCAATAAACATTGAAGTAGTAGCACTAATGTACAGCTCTATAGTAACATTGTTGCACATGTATGTAGTAATTTTAATTAGTGTATCAATCATAGTAATTGATACACTGTACATGTGTAACAATGTTACTATGTACATGTATTTTAATACAACTACGTATCTGTGCATTATTCTTAGTTATATGATTATACAGGTACAATGTAGTGCAAATGCACATATACAAATTAATCATACTAAGACATACATTTACTCATTTATAGTAATGAATATTAATACAGATGTAGATATTAATAAAATTGATTCTAATATATACGCTCTGGCTGTTGAAATAAGTTCCAAATGAGCTACCAAACTATGTACTGGACCTCTCATTCCTATGTGCAGATGACAGAGTGCAGTAATCATGATAACACATTTCACTTTTCCTTGTGAGAATCTCCCAGAAGCTAAACTGAGTGAAACTTTTGATTCCTTCTATCGGAGCATTTGCAGTGTTGAGGATTAAACGCATCCGTGTAAAAATTCTCTGTACTCCTCATCAAATCACGAATTGATTTAATGAATCTTGAGCTGTGTTTAAAAAACATCAAGAGGAATTTTCATGAATCCTCAGAATGGGAGAGCTAACCTGTGTTAACTGTTACCCTCTTACCTTTACAGGGAAACAAAGGCGAACCAGGAATTTCTCCAGGGAAAGCACCCAATGGACAAAAGGTTAGAATGGAGAGAGAGATTGCAACAGTTTGTATTTATAGAATATAGAGACATGTTGTAAGGTACTTTAGAAGAAATATTATTATTAACCTACTGTTCTCTTTTTAAAAAAACGTTCAGTATTTAGACGGACTCCACTTCAATAAGAAGAAAACCTGACAATCTCTCAAATGTTGAAGTGAAATGAAACAGTGATTTTGTTGATCATGAAGCTGCTTCAATAGGTCACACAGGTTATAAAAGTTCCTGAGTTCAACCCCTGGGCCATGCTGTTGATTGAATAGAGTCTGGATAGTAACATTCAGAGGGGAGGCGATGGCCTACTGGGATTGTTGCTAGACCGTTAATTCAGGAAACTCAGCTAATGCTCTGGGAGCCCAGGTTCAAATCCCACCATGGCAGATGGTGGAATTTGAACTCAATAAAGAATCTGGAGTTAAGGGTCTAATGATGACCATGAGTTGATTGTTGGAAAAAAAACATCTGGTTCACTAATGCCCTTAGGGAAAGAAACTCATCCTTACCTGGTTTGGCCTACTTGTGAGTCCAGACCCACAGCATTGTGGTTGACTCTTAACTGCCGTCTGGGCAATTAGGGATGGGCAATAAATGCTGCCTGGCCAGTGACACCCTCATTCTGTGAGTGAATAAAAAGACAAAAAGTCACGATGTTGCTAAGTGAGGAAAGCTAACAAGCTGCTGGGAACTTGCTCCTGGTTCCTATCTTCTGGGCCTTTATTGGAAGCCAGAGGTATCAGGTGATTGCCAGATGAGCTCAGCATTTCTCCAATTTCTCAACAACACTTGCTGCCTGACCCCTGTATGAATCCTGCCACTGGGATTGGCGACAGACGGAGAAGATTGACAGAAGCGAGTACAGACTTGATGGGCCGAAGGGCCTCGTCTGTCCTCCATGATTCTGGAGTACACAACAGTGTCAATAACCCCCTTCATTAGCCATTTACACTTATGCAGACATGTAAATTATGGGCTGGAGTAGGCCACTCAGCCCCTCCAGTCTGCTCCACTGTCAATAAGATCATGGTGAATCTGCATTCCCATCTCGCCCTCGAAAACCTTTCATCTCCTTGCTTCTCAAAGATCAATCTATCTCTGCCTTACAACATTCAAAATCTTTGCTTATGCAACCTTTTTTGGTGTAAGCTCTGGTTACCACGGTGTAATGCGCTGGCTTCTGAACTCTGTGATCTGAGTTCAAATCCAGGTGTCGCCTTCTTCCTGGTGAAGTGAGTGGCGAGCCTTGGAAAGTCTCGTTTTATGGGTGGCATGGTGGCTCAGTGCTTAGCACTGCTACCTCACAGCGCCAGGGACCCAGGTTCAATTCCACCCTCGGGCGACTGTGTGTGTAGAGTTTGCACATTCTCCCCGTGTCTGCGTGGGTTTCCTCCGGGTGCTCCGGTTTCCTCCCGCAGTCCAAAGATGTGCAGGTTAGGTGGATTGACTAAACTAAAATTGTCCATAGTGTTCAGGCGTCTGTAGATTAGGTGGGTTGTTGGGGGATGGGTCTGGGTGGGATGCTCCAAGGGTTGGTGTGGACTTGTTGGGCCGAAGAGCCTGTTTTCACACTGTAGGGATTCTATGATTCTATGAAGAGAGCCCTAAAGATCTCAATCTTCTGTGAGAAAACATTTCTCCTTGTTTCTTATTTTTAAAGAGTTACCTTTAGCTGTAGATTCTCCCACAAGAGGAACCACCTTTTCCACACGTGTGGACGCCTCTAGAATTTTCCGCGCTCCGATTAATGCAATCTAGCTATCAGCGTGTAGCTATTAATCTCAAATGCTCCAGCAACTCTCTGTGGAACTGTATTCTAATAAGAAACAGCAATTTCTGGGAGGGAAAGGAAGAAAATTAAGGGTTTGATTGATTGAAAATCAGATTGAAAGTGTTTGATGCTATGCATGACCAGTACTAGGAAAACCACCAAAAGCAAAATTTGCTGAGAGGGTAAAAAAAGGGATTGATAACCATCGGCACTGCACATTGCTATTAAATGAGGCATTTTACTTCAAAAGAGGGCGGCACAGTGGCTCAGTGGTTAGCACTGCTGCCTCACAGCAGCAGGGACCCGGGTTCAATCCCACCCTTGGGTGACTGTTTGTGTGGAGTTTGCACATTCTCCCCGTGTCTGCGTGGGTTTCCTCCCACAGTCCAAAGATGTGCAGGTTTCTTTTTCCTTATTCGTTAACGGGATGAGGACATTGCTGGCCAGGCAGCATTTATTGCCCATCCCTAATTACCCAGAGGGCAATTCAGAGTCAACCACATTGCTGTGGTTCTGGAGTCACATGTAGGCCAGACCAGGTAAGGATGGCAGTTTCCTTCCCTAAAGGACACGAGTGAACCAGATGGGTTTTTCTGAGAATCGGCAATGGATTCACGGTCATCATTAGATTCTTGATTCCAGATATTTTTATTGAATTCAGGTTAGGTGGATTGGCCATGCTAAATTACCCTGTAGTGTGTAGGGGTGTGTGGGCTAGGTGGGTTGGCCATGGGGAATGCAGGGTCACAGGGATAGGATAAGGGGCTGGGTCTGGGTGGGATGCTCTTTGGAGGGTCACTGTGGACTGGATGGGCTGAATGGTCTGCTTCCACACTGTAGGGATGCTATGACTCTCCCCTTTTATTAATTCCTGCACAGTTATTGTCCACTTTTAGTGACCTAGTGGTGTGGTGGTCAGTCCCCAGGAGCTGATGTTATCCTTGAAGTGTGGTTCAAAATGAGCCTTTGCAGGATTTCAGTCCAGAGACTGTGCTGGATTTGTCAGGATAGTGTGAACGTATCCCTGTTCCTATGACATTTGTCTTTAATGGTAGTATATATTAAGCATAACCGGGGAGACGTTGCACTGTGATGTGCAGGTTGTGTACACACAAGAAAGGAGAGCAGAGGTGGGCCAACAAACTACTAGCTAATCTACTACAACTCCAGCTTCCCACTCCATTTCTCATATCCCTTAATTAACTCCCTCAGTGCACAAAAGTCTACAGGTCTCTAGTATTAAATCTGCTCAATGACTGAGCAACCACATCTCCTTAAAGCAGAGAATCTGAAAGTTTTCAACTCTTTCAGTGAAAAGATTTCTCCTCAAGGTAAAGACTGTACCTTATTATTTTTCTGCATTTTGGATTGTGGACTGAAATGGGAATAGGACTGTTTTTTTAAAAGCTAAGGAACGTGGAAAGGATTGCTGTACTTTGGGAGTGGTGTTAACATTGCTGCTTGTTCAAGCAGCAGGAAAGGTAGATGAGCTGGAGCGCAGGAGCACAGGAGTGCTGAGTGATACATAGAACATTCAACGTCTCAGAGGGAAAGTAATTAAAGTGGTTTAATCTGTAGCTGTCTGGTGCACAGGACTTGAGAGTATTTGACAGTGAAAGTGGAAGGGAGTGTGGTTATCCAACATTGTGTACCTGATACAAAAACATTGAATGGTTTTGCAGTGCAGATCAGTAATAGTAAAATAAAAACAAGAAAGATTTATAGAGGGGAAATTGACCAAACCATCAACAATATACACAACTTTTCATGTTGTGAAACCGTGCTCTTATGGCTTCTCCTTCCAGTTGTTATGAGTAACCAGCTGTCTAAAAATCTGTCAGAGAACCTCATGGTTTGAGAACGTACTCTGCATCATTCTCTGTTTGTTGTTTTATTTTGCTGATTCAGGATGGGTTTACACAGTCAGTGTGTCTAGGTGCAGCCTGGTGGGCAGTTGGTCATAGAGTCATAGAGACGTACAGCATGGAAACAGACCCTTCAGTCCAGCGTGTCCATGTTGACCATCTATTCGAATTTAATCGATTCCCATTTGCCAGGAATTGGCCCATATCCCTCTAAACCCTTCCTATTCATATACACATCCAGATGCCTTTTAAATGTTGTAATTGTGCCAGCCTCCACCACTTCCTCTGGCAGCTCATTCCATACACACACCACCCTCTGTGTGAAAAAGTTACCCCTTAGGTCCCTTTTAAATCTTTCCCCTCTCACCTTAAACCTATGCCCTTCTAGTTTTGGACTCCCCTACCCTGGAGAAAAGACCTTGTCTGTTTACCCTATCCATGCCCCTCATGATTTTATAAACCTCTATAAGGTCACCCCTCAGCCCCTGACATTCCAGGAAAAATAGCCCCAGCCTATTCAGCCTCTCCCTGTAGCTCAAACCCTCCATCCCGACAACATCCTTGTAAATCTTTTCTGCATCCTCTCAAGCTGAACATCTTACGTATAGCAGGGTTAACGCAGTGTGGAGCTGGATGAACACAGCTGGCCAGGAAGCATCAGAGGAGCAGGAAAGCTGACGTTTCGGGTCGGGACCCTTCTTCGTATAGCAGGGTTTGTTTGCTTTGAAGTTCCAAGTGACACCGACTCCACAAAGTCAAAGCGCCCCGTTCGAAGTCTGGGAAAATCTAAAATCAAGTAAGGCAGCAGCCCCCAAGCTGCTGGTTTCGGGAGCGTGTACCTCTGTTTGCACTCTCCTTATCCCTAAATCTCCGGGTGTAAAAGATATGAAAAAACGAGGAGCTTTTTTCTTGGTAAAGTGTATTTCCCGTCTGTACCAAAATGGGGCTGGATGGTAACCCTCTCAGTGAATGGGTTTGAGTGAGTTAAAATCTTGGCCAGTATGATCTTGGGCTGAAGCTCAAAGATATTTGATGTTGATGCAACAGCACATATGTGTTTGTTTACAAGTCTGTGGGTGATATAAAATTTTTTGATGGATGCTGTTCTGATATTGATGTTCGCTCTGCTGTTAATAACAGCATTGATTGCAACATTACCTCACTTTATCTCACAACATTCAATCAGTGGAAGCAGTACAAAGACTTTAGTGTGGGCATTGAAAATATTTCTAACATGCAGACTCGATTCTGTTGTTTCTAGGGTGATGTGGGTCAACCTGGTGCTGTTGGACTCCCAGGGCCTCCAGGTAGAAAGGTAGGTGACAGAAATTGATGGTCATTTTCAAAACTGTAATGCCTGTTCTCCTTTTATTCTATATTATCACAAGCAAGAATGAACTGAACTGGATTTGAGGTAGGTTTGATTGAAAATTATTATGTGGAAGCTTAATTGGAGTCTGGCGTCTTGAGTTTCATTGACTCCCTGAGTAGAATCATGGAATCCCTACAGTGTGGAAACCGGCCCTTCGGCCCAACAAGTCCACACCGACACTCAGGGCATCCCACCCAGACCCTTCCCCCTATAACTCACCCCCCTATAACCCCCATAACCTACACATCCTTGAACACTGCAGGCACTTTAGCATGGCCAATCCACCTAGCCTGCGCACAAATTGAATCTAAATCAAATTTCTAACTTTGGAAACTGCACTCCATTATACAAATCAGGAGTGTGATGGAATACTCCTCACTTGCCCTGGAAGGGGGCAGCACCAACAACACTCGAGAAGCTTGACACCATCCAGGACAAAGCAGCCCGCTTGACTGGCACCACATCTGCAAGCATCCACTCCCTCCACCACTGAAGTATATCGCATACAGAATACACTGCGGCAGCTCACTGAGGTTCCTCTGACAGCACCTTACCAAGAGGGCAGCGGGCACACAGGTCCATAAAACACAGGAGCAGAAATAGGCCATTACACCCGTCGAGTCTGCCAAAGCTGGGGTGGGGAGGTAGTGCAGAGCGGAGCCGATGCCAGTTCTCCTGCGTGCGCCCACGGATATGATGCCAGCGCTGGGACTGGACCGTGCGTGTGTGGCTGCGGTGAGCACATGCTGCCATCGCGTTCGGCCAGTCGCCAACAAGCGGAGAGCAATCCATGTAAAAATCCGGCCCACGCTCGGAATGAGCAGCGATTAGCCTCGGTGAGACCACACCTGAAATATCGTGTGCAGTTCTGGTCTTCCTCATCTGAGGAAGGATGCTCTGGCGATGGAGGGAGTGCAGCAAGAGTTTCCCAAACTGATTCCTGGGATGGCAAGACTGAAGCATGGAGAGAGACTGGATTGGTTAGGACTATCCTCACTGGAGTTTTGGAGAATGAAGGGGGAGATCTCACAGAACTCTATAAAATTCTAACAGACAGGTAAACACAGTAAGGATGTTCCAAATGACCAAGGAGTCCAGAAACAGTGGGCACAGTTTAAGGATATGGGGTGCGCCCTTTAGAACTGAGATGAAAGGAAATGCCTTCACCCACAGAGTGTGTGGTGAGCCTGTAAAATTCTCTGTCACAGAAAACGATTGAGGAAACGATTGAACGTTTTCAAGAAGGAGTTAGATACAGTTCTTAGGGCTGAAGGGTTGTGGGGTGGAAGTGCAAACGGGGGACTGAGTTGGATGATCAGCCACGAATATGGGGAATCATGGAGCAGTGTTGAGGGGCCGAATAGCCTCCACCTGCTCCTATTTTTTGTGTTTCTGTGGGAGCTGGGACAATTTCTGGACAGAGCTGGGCTGGTTTCTGAGTCTGATTGAGGGTCTTCTCCCCAGCGTCTTTGTGACCTGCGTTGTTGCTGTCATCGCCGTGACCTCTCCTTCAGGCTTTAGTTGCCAACAGGAATCTCTAAGCCGTTGGCCGACTGAAGTGTACACGTTTCTTAGAGAAGACGCTTTCTGCTCACAAAGACAATGTAGCTCGTTCCTCCGGACTGCTCTGTGGCTGATCAGAGAGAAACAACACAACCATTAACGCGATTAAAAGGCCTGGTTTCACTGTGTAAAATGATGACAGATTGCAGTCCATCACCAGTGAATCCTCGGATATGAATGTGAAAGTGCTGTTGGCCAAAGTACTTCAAGGTTGCCCAACCTATCAGCATGGAGCCAAGAGTGCTACAGGAAGCCTTTGAGCCATTAGATTAAATATGTTTAACCGCTCTTGAAGTCTGCAATCAATTCAGCTGACTTGAGGAACTAAGCAAAGAGCACTTCTTCCAATTTAAAATGACTTCAGGTTTACAAGTCTCGCTCAGATGAGTAGGGTTTTGCTGGAAGATTTTAACAGTCCCCCTCCCCCCACCTTATATCTTTATCCCCTTCTCTGCGACCAGGAAATGCTAAGTTGAAGAGCAGTGCCAATAAACCCCGAAATTTAAAGCCCCTTGTCTTTTTGTCTGAGTGACTGTTAAAAACAAATCATGTGGGATAGACAACAGAGATTTTGGGGCGTGAGCAGAACAGTCAGTTTTCATTTTATGTGCCCGAGGCCCCACCATCTTGAGCTGCTTCATCAATGACCTTCCCTCCATCGTAAGGTCAGATCTGGGGATGTTCGCCGATCATTGCACAATGTTCAGCACCATTCGGGACTCCTCAGAAACTGAAGCAGTCCATGTTCAAATGCAACAAGATCTGGACAATATCCAGGCTTGGGCTGACAACTAGCAAGGAACATTCGAGCTACATAAATGCCAGGCAATGACCATCTCCAATAAAAGACAACCCAACCATCACCCTTTGACATTCAACGGAGTAACCATCACTGAATCCCCTGCTTTCAACCTCCTGGTCTAGAAACTGAACTGGACTCATTATATAAACACAATGGCTGCAAGGGTAGGTCAGAGGCAAGGAATAATGCAGAGAGTAACTCCCCTCCTGACTTCCCAAAGCCTGTCCACCATCTACGAGGCTCAAGCCAGGCGGGTGATGGAATACTCCCCACTTGCCTGGATGGGTGCAGTCCCAACAACACTTGGCACCATCCAGGACAAAGCAGCCGCCTGATTGGCACCACATCCATGAACATTCACTCCCTCCCCCACCGACGCTCAGTAGCAGCAGTGTGCATTATCTACAAGATGCACTGCAGAAACTCACCAAAAATCCTCAGACAGCACCTTCCAAACCCACGACCACTTCTATCTAGAAGGACAAGGGCAGCAGATACATGGGAACCCCTCGATACTAGACAATTAGAAGAAATAGAGGTGAAACGTACAGGATTCTGAGGGGCTTGACAGGGTAAATGCTGGGAGGATGTTTCCCCTCATGGGAGGGTCTCAGACCAGACAGCATTGTATCAGATTAAAGGGGCACCAATTTAAGACTGAGATGAGGAGGAATTTCTTCTCTCAGATGGTTGAGAGTCTTAGGTACTCCTTGTCACCGAGAGCTGTGGGAGCAGTGTCCTTGTTTATATTTAAGGCTGAGATAGATTCTTGATTGATCGAGGAATCAAGGATTACGGGGAAAGGACAGGAATGTGGACATAAGGAATGTCGGATCAGCCATGATCCTATTGAATAGTGGAGCAGGCTCAAAGGGCTGAATGGCCTGCCTATTCCTGCTCCGATTTCTAATGGTCTTATTATGGTCTTAATGCCTTGGTGCCCTTTATCTTCCTGTTTAAGTGTTACACCCTGGTGCAATGGATCAAAGGCTTCCTTCCATGAGTGGCTTTTGCAAAACAAAAATAAATATCGAAGCAAAACCCTGATATGCTCATAATATCCAGTGATGATCTACAGGAAACATTTGACTGTGGATCTTTTAAGAACTGTTTGCTCCCAGATGAGCAGTGACCTGTGCACACTGTGAGAGCCACACTAGCTGTTGGCCTCCATGTTGGAATTGAAAGAAAAACTGTGGATGGGATGGAATTCTATCAGAGCTGGACTCTACCCAAGCTCCTTGGCCCTGTTCCTGCCTTGGCTTGGGGCTTAATCCTTGCCTTCGCAGATTCCAGAAATTCAGAATTTGGCATTTTAATCACAACCTGTCCCTTTATTTATTTTTGCTGATCCCATTCATCTTTCATGAACATTGGTTGTTATATTTGCCAGCCTTTTAGCAAAACTCCCATTTCCAAACTCTTATACATGAGAATATTGGAACAGGAGTAGGCCATTCAACCCCACATTCCTGCCTGCCCTCCATAACCTCTCAATCCTGTTACTAATTAAAAATCTGTCTATCTCCTCCTTAAACTTACTCAATGTCCCAGCATCCACCACACTCTGAGGGAGTGAATTCACAACTCTTTAAGGGAAGTAATCTCTCCTCATCTCTGTTTTAAATCTGCTCCTCCTTATCCTAAAACTATGCCCCACAATAGAACACATCCTCTCTCCGTCTACCTCGACAACCCCCTTAAGCATATTATATCCCTCAATTAGATCTCCACTCATTCTGCAAAACCGCAGAGAATATAGACATGTACTCTCAATCTCTGTTCATAAAACAAGCCCCTCATCTCTGGAATCAATCTAATCACCCTCCTCTGAACTGCCTCTAATAAATTTCTCAAGAGAGGGGACCAAACCTGTACACAATACTTCACTAGTGCCTTATACAATTACAGCAATATTTCCCTACTTTTATACTCTGTTCCTTTAGCAATAAATGCCAAAATTCCATTTGTGTTCCCTATTACCTGCTCTACCTGTATACAGTACTAGCTTTCGGGACAGCATATGGCTGATATTTCCTTTATCATCCCTATAACCTTCAGCTTTGAAAGATGGATATTTTGAGTCAGGTGATGTTTGGTGTTTATGCTTTTTAATGCTGTGTTTCTGAACATCTCCAGTTGTGTTCTTTAATTCTTGCCTCATGCACTCACCATAGAACAGTTCTCCATATTTTAACTCTCTGAAGAGAAGAAAGACCTGACTTTATTCGAGATTTTCCCAGACAGCCCTAAGTGCTTTCCAGTCACTGCTTTCTGAACTGCAGTTGCTGTTGTAATCTGGGAAACACTGCACTCAAACTCCAGATGTTCTCATTTATTATGTAGTATGTTTGGTCATTCTTTGACTGTGACATTCAGGGACTGCACCTCAAAGGAAGGAAAAATAATTTTAATTTGGCACACGATGCAATGCAGCAAAGCAGATAACCCAGTGGGTCTTTTAGTTAGGTACGTTTTTACATGGTCTCCTGAAATTATATTTGTGAAAGGAACCCTCACCATTGCTGCGCAAACTAACATGAAATGTCCGATGAAGGAGTGGCTTCAGTATTTCTAG